CCCCCCCCCCCAATGCAAATGAATGCAATATATATATTGGAAAGTGTCAAGGGTAAGAAAGACAACTCTTGTGACAAACAAACGACCTTAGATGCAGCACCATATGCCACCATCCAAAATACACTCTTATAACATTCTTTTTCCAGATTATTTTTATTCAGATGATATGATATCACAATATATGTTATGTTCTCATAACTCACAACTACATACACACTGGTGACCAATGGTCATCATCTTAGATACAAGTACAATAAGTGACCAGTGGTCATCATCTGAGATACAAGTACAATAAGTGACCAGTGGTCATCATCTGAGATACAAGTAAAATATGTGACCAGTGGCCATTGTCTGAGATGCAAGTGCAATAAGTGACCAATGGTCATTATCTGAGATACAAGTAAAATATGTGACCAGTGGTCATTATCTGAGATACAAGTACAATAAGTGACCAGTGGTCATCATCTGAGATACAAGTACAATAAGTGACCAGTGGTCATCATCTGAGATACAAGTGCAATAAGTGACTAATGGTCATTATCTGAGATACAGGTAGAATAAGTGACCAATGGTCATTATCTGAGATACAGGTAGAATAAGTGACCAGTGGTCATCATCTGAGATACAAGCACAATAAGTGACCAATGGTCATTATCTGAGATACAGGTAGAATAAGTGACCAATGGTCATCCTCTGAGATACAATGGGAAAAAAATGTGACCAGTGGTCATTATCTGATACAGGTTCAATAAGTGACCAGTGGTCATCATCCGATATACAAGCAAAATAAGTGACCAGTGGTCATTATCTGATACAGGTTCACAATAAGTGACCAGTGGTTGTCATCATATATACAAGTACAATTAGTGACCAGTGGTTATTATCAGAAATACAAGTACAATAAGTGACCAGTGGTCATTATCTGAGATACAAATACAATGTGTGGCCAGAAGTGGTCATCTGAGATACAAGTACATTAATTATTAGTGACCAATGGTCATCATAAGAGATACAAATACAATAAGTGGCCAGTGGTCATCATCTGAGATGCAAGTACATGAAGTGACCAGTGGGTATCATCTGAGATATAAATACAGTCAGATCTGATATCACACATACATTTTGAGCATATACAAGCCTTATATAAATACAATTTGGGTGGACAAAAAAGGTTGGTGAAACATGGTAATATGCAATGTACAGTATGAAACATTTCTGGATATTCATGGCTAATCACTGTTGTGTTTTATGTTAAATAAACTTTTTTTCAACACGTTTGTGCGATTGTAACTTGAATAAGTTTAATTTGTTCATATTTCTGAGTATCAATATTCATTGGCCAAATCCAACCATGAGAACCATGAAAGAAAGTAAATAAATACTTTTTACAAACATGTAGTATGCTAATATGACTGGAATCCATTGACCCCCTCCTTCAAAAAATCTCTTTTTTAAGCAAAGCTACTTTTAGATATCCTATAGCTGTAAAACTTTCTGCATTTATATCTTGGTTGTAATTAAGGAGGCGGAGTCAAATTATGCAACATAATGTAGATCTATATATCTGTTTCATTGCAAATCATAAACACAATATTGCCTAACTCATAGAAAAAAATATGTATACATACAAAAAAATCAACAAAATAAAAGATCTTTACTCCGCTTCATAATACATAATATGAGACAAAGATAGGAAATGAGGTGAAGAAAATATTATAAAGTTGATAAAATAAAATTTAAGTGTGGCTGGAATGTTCAATAGTATTAGCAATATGAAACAAATGCAAATGGTTGCAAAATATTTTTATGTATTCACATTCCCCTTTTTCAGCTAAGCAAGCTCTGACTGCATATAAATTAGCATATACGCAGTGAAAAAAGTCTTCGCAGATTGAGACTTGTTTCAAATAAGGCACTGTTCACGCTTCAGCAAGATAACAGTATGTAGCATTCTGATGTAAATATATGTCTTGAATAAAAGATATAACGTGCACCATAAGAATATATCCGTTGCGTTCATACCACCATATACATGTACGCCATCGAAATGAAGGTCAATCCTTATATGAATACCAGTATATATTAACGATAAGATCATTGACAAAAACAAGCATTCATTTATGTTACAACATATTGGAGCAAATCCAACTACAGTTCACTGTATACCCGGAATGTTTCGCTCAGTCAAATTTTCGCCCTTCAACAATAAACTCCATTTTTGACCAATAATGAATCTACCCCCCCCCCCCCCCCCCCCCCCCCCCCCNTATAATGATAAAATTACCATCATTACGGAGGGCGAAAAAGGCAAAAAATTTACGACCATGAAAATGTCCCGTAGTCAGTGTTTCATTGGAATGGTTTCTCATTTAAGACAATATAGTCAACAAATGTTCACAAATCTATCCCTCCCTCATTGTAATTGCTGATTCATCCTTCACAAATAAGAAAAAGAAAATACCTTTATTGTTGAAGTGATGAATCTGCAAATACATTAAATATGTATGCATAATGTATTTCTCTTTATAGAAATTCTCATGAAAAGTACATAAGTACAAATTTATATTTTCCTAGTAAGTGTATGTGTTCTACCTATATGTGAGTGATATACAGAGCTTTCCATGGTTTCAAATTTAACTTTTATTAGATAAACTTTTCTTGGAAAACTTAGTGAAAGATAAAGATTGTGTTAAAAAAAAAGAAGAAACTGCATGAACACTTAATTCATTCACTATTTCAAAACTACGGGTATTATACACCTCTGGAAATAGATAACTACAATGAAAGAATCTAGCCATATCTCAGGATTTGAGTCAATAGCATTATATAACTTAATTAATAGCTTAACTTATCATTGCTAAAGTTCTGGGCCTGTATTCATGAAACCGTTCTATTGCTCAAGTATGGATTCTGTGCTAAAGCCAACTTTCTTTTTATGCATTTAAATCATGTGACACGGTCAAAAGATCTTGTGTAAACCTTTAAAACAATATTCGGTTTGAAATGTCTGCAATCTTTTTTCCAAATCATAACAAAATATCTTTTGTTAGTAGTTTATCACTGGAACAAGAAAATAGGCTTGAGTACAGAATCTGAGTTTGAGCATGAGAACGGTTTCATGAATACGGGCCCAGGACTGTGTTGTATCAAGATTTCTATAACTCAAAAACACATTAGATTGCTGAGGGGAGATAACTCTGAGAGATCAGATTGGTATGGCATCACCAAACATATCTCGAACCCAATTAAGTTGCATGTTATCCATTTCAAACTTGTATTTTTCCCAAATTTGGTGACCACTTTAAATGTATTTAATTGAGAATCACAGCTAAACACAAAATCATAAACTCTCTACCTCTGAAAGTCCCATATCTGGTCCAGACCTGATATTAATTGTAATACATGTAACTGGTTATAATATGTAGAAGCTTGAATTTCCTCTGGCCCTGACACCAGACTTAGACTTAGATATCTACCTGTCAAATTGTCTAAGTCTGATGTCAGGGTCAGAGGAAACTCGGGCTAAATGTGTAGTAACATTTGTTTACATCCCTAACATCAAGAAATACACCACTTACTCAAAACGTAACAGATAAGATCAAAATCATCAATTTCAATTTATACCAATTAAGTAGAATAACACATGCATCAACATCTGTTGAATGTGTCACTGTTCTTTGGGTAGCAGAAACGCTTTACCAAGGAAAACTCCAGATGGCAGCACGGTCAGGGGTAAGTTTTTGTTTGGGTAGATTGCACCCATATATTTGTTAGTAAAGGCGTCACTGATGTTGTAGCCACGGTTGTCCAATATTCCAAGTGCGACACCATTCACGGGGACCTACAAATGATGTTTATAATACATTTACCACTAAATAACAACACAACATGCCCCAAATCACAGGTTGTAGGTACACCAACATCAAATACTTATTACTACTTTAGCAGACTGACTTTTATTTATTGCAAAATTATATGGCTTACATTAGCCAGGGAAATTATTGTGTCTAAATATAAGCTTTATTATCTATTTTATTTGTAACTTTGTTCCAATATAATATATTAACTGTTTCTTGTTTTGCTGTCTATGAATTTTGATAATTTGACAACCTTCTACCCTCTACACTAGTACTGTTGTAATTACTTTCTTGCCCCATATACATGTACCAATTAAGAGCAATTTATATCCTACAAACTATCCTCCAGAGGGATTCAGAGTTATACAGGATTTTACCGTTGATGTTTCTAATGAATATAAATGCAACAATATATTTACAGATATCTGCTGCATTGAAATAGTAGGCTTTCATCATTGTGATATGAGGTAGAGTTGTGCCCCATCAAAACCTTTTAACAAGCATAATTGTTCATAATCAACTGATCAATATCAAGGCATAAATAAACAGATAGTAATTGTGTATTGTGGAACTTTTCTTTAAATAATTATTACCCCTAGGCCTGCTTTGCATCTTTCACAGACTAAGACATTTTTATGCCAAATTGTAAGATACCTGATTCATCAACAGCAGGTGACATCTAATTTATAAAATCACAAGAGAAGCTTTAGTCAAAAAGCATCCAACAATATTTCCTTGTTTCTTTTTTAGTTTTTGAATCATTTAGACGCATGATTATCTAATATCATCTTCATGACCAATTTTTATTTACTGGTCATTAATATCAGTCGTCAGTACTACTTGAATCAGTTCTTTATTATTTTTTATATACTGTACTTTTAATTATCACCATGTTGTTTCCTTCCACACAATTATTTTTACAATAGTTACATACAATTCAATATACATTATATTGATTATTTAAATATGTCCCAATGAATATATATGAGCTACCTGATTTCAATGAATATTTATGAGTTACCTGATAGTAATGAATATTTATGAGTTCTACCCGATTTAAATGAATATTTATGAGGTATCTGCTTTAAATGAATATTTATGAGTTCTACCGATTTAAATGAATATTTATAAGGTATCTGCTTTAAATGAATATTTATGAGGTATCTGCTTTAAATGAATATAAAAGATGTATCTGTAATCATGACTGACTCCAAATCTCTATGCAAATTAACACAAAATACATACTTCGTAAAATATATCAGACATTTACAGACAATTTCCAAACACTCACCAGTGTTTCTGACCCTCCATCTGCAAGGTTCAATACTGCAAATGCATAATTTCCCTTTGGTGTTATTGGTTTACTCCAAAATTGAATTTTCCCTTTCTGTAAAACAACAAAATTAGATAGATTATCATAACTTTATAGGTACTCAACAACAGAAATTTCTTGACAACTAAATTCTGTTTTTAGCAAAAGGTTGATACATAAATTGCATGGATAGCTACATTGAAAATATCTCTTATCCATAACTGTTTCAATGACACATCAAAGTTTTACTCTCTATACAAACAATGTACGTATTAAATGTGTCACAACATTTCAAGACCTACTGGTCCCTTTGTCAAGCTGTGACTGGGTGAGTGTTTTGTATTTTTTACCTGTACAATGATGTGACAAAATAGTATATTTTTTATGTGACTAGACTCAATATACAATTTTGTCATGTTGCTACTTTGTACAGGTAAAAAATACAAATCGCTCATTCAGTCATAGCTTGACAAAGGGACCAGTTGGTCTTGAAGCATTGCGGCATGTGTAATAAACTTTGAGATGTCATAGAAGCAGATATCACATATTCCAAAACTGATGAATCTTAGATGTTTCAATGACGATGTTTCACTATATCTAGGACCATATCACAATTTCATTAAAATGGCCTAATGCTAATGTCGAAAGGTAGACATTAAATTTTTTGTGAATGTATTGATTATTCATTATTCCATCAGAAAATTTCATTCGTATTTGGGGCTGTGTTGGCTGAGTGGTCAAGGCGTCTGACTGTCTACGACCACCAGTCTTTCACCACTGGATCAAGGTTTTGAGGCCTATGTGGGGCAGTCGTCAAGGTCAGTGGGTTTTCTCCTGGGACTCTGGTTTTCCTCAACCACCAAACTTGGCTCATCCTTAAATGTCCATAGCTGGTAATGGGATATTGAGCAATAACAAACCAAATCATTCATATTTGTTACATAGAAAAATTGGTGAATCTTAAACCCTTCAATCTTTTTCATTGTGTCTCTCTCTTTGAGATTCTCCCTCGTGACAAAAGTCAGTTCTGTAATATTTAATGCAGTAAGAATGTATTACCGTGCTGATTAGTCTCCCCTGGACTCCAAGTGGGTCCTGGTTGATTGATATGGCGCCCCTGTTCTGCAGTAAAGCTATTGAATCGCGCTTAATCTTGCGAAGGTCGTTTGACATAAGTAGAGGTGCGGCTAGGATAGACCACATGGCCATCTGAACTTGCTGCTGGTTGTAACTCAACCCAAAATCTCCTAGGATAAGCTGCAATAGAGAACTGCATACAGTTACACCTCACTTAACCGCCTCCTGCCAAGCAAAATGTTGGCATTATCCAGAGTTTGGCGATGTAAAAAGGGAAAACATAAAATAAATAAAGTATTCTTAACTCATTCACCCCTGAAGAGTCATTTGAACTCTCCCAATTCCAAGGTTGGAATAGTTCATTATGAAATTTCAGGGGTGAATGAGTTATTGAGGGAAGTTTATCAAATTGCAAAGTACATTTATATATATAGTGATGACAACTGGATTTAGATAAACACGATAACAACATTAGTCTCTGAGGATATCTTACCATGTCTGGATCGTTGAATTGTCCAGGTCCCGCTACACTGCTAAAGTTACCAGAATCTTTGCCATAGAAGTTGATGATAGACACCACGCTACTCCAGGAATCTTGTATGTCTCCATAGTTCCGCCATATGTTACAGCTCTTAGCAATGGCCTCATAATCTGGCTGTGAAAAAACATTAATTGTTTTTTTGCAATATCCCTTTGTTTACCAGAGCAACATTAGGGGTCACTGATCATGAGGATTTTTCTGCATCTTTAGGATGCTGCATTAATTCCATTGTGAATAACACTGATATTCCAACTGTAATGTTTCAACAATAGAGCATTTAAAAGAATTTCAAGGAATTTTCTTTTTTTTCTTCTTTTTCTTAATTAGATATCTAGTGCCATGCATTCTTGTAACAAAATACATATCAAAATAATGATATATTACAAGAAAAAAACTACAATTGCACTTTATTACTCAGCAAAGCTGAAATAATTTCTTGCATGCATTGAAATAGTAAAACTGGCAAAAAGTAAAGGCGCGTGTTAATAGAATTGTCTCCCTTTGCCCATACATTTTTTTTCAAATTTTGTTATTAGGTTGAAAAAGAAACTATAATAGATTTTATAAAATTTAACACAACAGTCCCATTTTAAGATAAGTTGATCGTAAGATTTGCATCACACACACACAATGTGGGACTAGTTGTATTCACAAGGTTATATACCGGTACACTAGACAGACAAATGGACAGCATGATAACATGTCAGCACCTGATTGAAATTTTACTTATATGATGTAAACTGCTGGCGTCAGCCTTTTATTAGTTCCCGAGTCCCAATATAAACAAATTTAAATTAAGGATTCCTGTACCACTACCAAAAAAATAATAGTATGCATTTGAAACTGATTTTTCCGTCATGACTATATATATGTAGCTTTGATAAATCAATTTTGAAAAGAAAAGTATACCTTGCGTTCTGAGTGTAAAATGTTCTGGTGGTATTCAAACCCTGGACTTCAGATTGTAAGAGTACCATTGCTGAAACTAATTGAGCTACCTGGACAACAAAAGTGTATAAGCCCACATGTGCTACAGTTATATATCCAAACGGAAGTTAAGGGGAGGTTACTGTATATAGGAAAAACGGCAGTGCAGTGGGTCAGGGATCCTTAATGACCATGGTAGTTCTGGAAAATACGGTGTAGTCTCATTATCTACCAAACTTCCCTTGAAACAAAGATTCTCAAATGACGTATCTTAATAAAGAAAATTCAACTTATCCTGAGCTTGTTGCGATTGACACCTATTCAAAGATTCTCAAAGATATATATCCATATACAATTACTTAAAATTTGACCACTCAGGAGTGATTTCAGTTTTGAACTTAACAAATCTAAAGCTATACACATCTGGATAATAATTTGCCACATTTCCCTAAGCTAGAGGCAAAGGCCATAAACAAAATAAGCAAATAACAGGTATCTTATGATATCTTTTGATTAAGATTTCCATACCACTGGGTTTGAGAATGTCCCTTAAAAGTGAGGTCATTGTTCATTTTTTAATTCTTATAAAAAATAGCGATTCCATGATGGCTGCCTTAAAGTGGCCATTTTGTTTCTCCAATCAGTCCAAAAATCAAACATACATACAATATACCTTCCTATAAAATTTAAGATAGATTTGTTCAGTTCTTTTTGAGAAATAGCTTTCAAAAGAATCGTTTAAGAACGGATAGACAACAAACTATGGACGATAGACCACGGACGAAAGGCAATTTGATCAGTCCACCATCTGATGACGGTGGGCTAAAAAGTTTACATTATACATACGTTCGGTAGATATGCAGGCCAGCTACACGAGTACAGAATGGGCCTTCCTGTCAAATTCAGGAACTTCTCCATGATGGGGTAACCTACATATATATCAGACATGCATTCTAGAAGTCAGAAACCATTTAGATGTCAAATAGTTCTTAAATATTTGGAATCCATTTTTCTTTCAATTCATCAATTTGATCAGTGGATATATAACACCTGATGAATTCCAGCCAAACAGGAGATCTAGCTTTTTTGGGTAATACAACATCGTAAATTATCACAGCGTGAAATACATGACCTTGTTATGCATGATCTAAATACTGTATACTGGGAAACTTTCACCTCGTAAAGTTTAATTTAGCCCAGTTTAACTTTAGCCCAGTCAAACTGTAGCACCAGTCAAACTTTAGCACCGTCAAATGTTAGCCCAGTCAAACTTTCGCATCAGTCAAAGTTTCATCCAGTCAAACTTTAGTACCAGTCAAACTTTAGTACCAGTCAAACTTCAGCCCAGTCAAACTTTAGCACCAGTCAAACTTTAGCACCAGTCAAACTTTAGCCCAGTCAAACTTTAGTACCAGTCAAACTGTAGCCCAGTCAAACTTTCGCACCAGTCAAACTGTAGCACCAGTCAAACTTTAGCCCAGTCAAACTTTAGTACCAGTCAAACTTTAGCACCAGTCAATCCTTCCAACCTTCACTATCAAAATCCATAAAAGCTCAGCATTATTTTCACCCTTCACATGTAATGACTCTTATAGTATGCTGTGTTTAAACATGCACTGTTCGAATAAATTCGCTGTCATTATTGCAGGCGAAAAAGCCGAATGTTGAACTGTGGTGAAAATTTCCTGGTATACAGTAATTAGTTCCACAAGGGAGATAATCATTTAAAAGTTTTCTTTCAAAAATAGGTAAATCACTAACTTTGTTATGTTGATATAAGTTCATGTCCATTTCCCCATAATTACCTACCTACAGGTATGTCTCCTCTGCTAGTGTAACAACCGTCCAACTTGAGACTATCAATGCCCCATGAGGCGAAGGTTTCCGCATCCTCCTGCATGTAGAATTTACTGCCCGGATAACCTCCACATGTAAACGTCCCGAAATCCCCGTAGATCCCTAGCTTCAGGCTTTTATTGTGAACCTAAATCCAAAATCAATTACATAGGTTTCAACCTTGGAAACCAAGATTTCCCTCACTCTACATTTCCAATGAGAGGGAAAGTGTGTGAAACGTGACTATTCGTACTATGCTCAAATTATTCTCCCCGTATTAAAATAACTCCTAAAAGCAGTCCTTTGATTCAGACACACCTGTTACGATCATTACACACACCCTGCAGTTACTAGGAGATCATTTGACCACAGGATGTAGATCTTGAGTTAGTGTGAGTTTGGACTTGAATGAGGAAGTTTTGAGGGTGATTTGTAAATTTTGGTCAAAATGAGGGAGTCCCCCTCCTAATGAGGGAGGTTTGACAGCTATGCAATTAGCACCCAAAACATTGGGATGTTGTGTAGGATTTTTTTTAATCCCTTTGCTATGATATCTTAAACAAACATTTGCAGAATACATATATATATATATATCCCCTGCTTTAAGAATAATGAATTAACTGTTGACATTCCATTGGGTAGGACTATGNAAAATATTTGACAAATCATTAATTCAGGCTGAAGTGGCCTTTGTTAGCCCTTTCACCCCTGATTAACCTCTATAGATTCTTATATCCTTTGATTTGGACAAGTCCATAATAGGTCTCTAGGAGTGGAAGGGGTTAAATCTGTTTTCTCAACATTTTCGAATCCTCATATATTTCAACATAATACAAGAATGTATTCAAATTATTTAAATGACAAAGTATCTTACATAATCAGCTAAAGCCTTTATTCCACTTGGAAATCGTTTCGGGTCAGCTTGGAGACGTCCATTCTCATCACGCTCCTTTGCACTCCAGCAGTCATCAATATTAACGTACTCATAACCAGCAGCGGCAAAACCTTCCAACACCATTTGGTCAGCCATGTCCTTGTACAGCTGTTCGCTGCAGACACAAACACAGTTTTACTAAAGATCAGGTTTTTCCTGGATATTTCAGGAATTGTCACCTTCATTAAATCAACGTCAAATTACTTCAACAAATGTGAAAGCAAGCAATCTTTTTTGGAAGACTTCAACTTGTTTTTTCCATATATTTGGCCACTATAATCTTGAAAGTGAATCAAGGTTCTGGATTTGAAGTGAACAACTTGACCTTTAACCCAGAGTGCTACTTGCTAAATATCATGTCCCCAAACATCTCAGTTATCACCAAAAAAATGTTAAAAATGTATTAACACATACTTCCCTTTTTCCTTTCAAAAAAGGTCAAGGTCATTTATATGAACAAACTTGATTGCCCTTCATTCCAGTATGCTTCTTATCCTATCAATTGTCACAATTGATCTCTATGACCTTGAAAGAAGGTCATGGACATCAGTTTGAACAAATGATAGCCCTTCACCATAGCATGCAATTTGCTGAATATCTTGCTGTCTGTTTTAGGTATCCGGACCAACCCTCGTTTTTACCTTTGACCCTACAATTTTATCGCACTCAAACTAACTCTATTCATTGTTAGGATAACTTGTCCATCGGATGAAAACAAAATGATTGACAAAAAAAACAAGGCATCTATATATAAACCCTCTTTACTTCATGGGCAGGTATCAAAAACCAAATTTAAATCCCATATTCAAAAACCAAATAATATGTTTGGTGATTTTTGTAATTTCATAAGTTAGCCCCCCTACCTCCTCATTGTATAAAGTGTTACCTTTGGGGCAAAGACTTAAAAAAGGAGGGAGGAATGTAGCATTGGTGACGAGGTAGCTTTGTTGGTGAATGTGTCTAGACGTCGGAGGTCTGATTCAAATCCTCGTCCAGTCATTTATTTTTTTCCTCCTTTTACACATATAATAAAACTTACCTGTAATCATGTATAGCCTTTCTGATAAGCTGACCTAAGCCTTACCTGATGCTTTGTTTTGGGTAAGTATCACAATCTGTAATACATCGAAACCGTTCCCATGACATCCATCCCATAGGGGGGGTTCTTGCTAGGCCATTGTCAAGGCCCCAAATTGTGCCGATGATGACAAGAATAACAAGGGGGAGAATCATGACTGAACCTGAAAAGAAGTTTTGGTTACCTTTAAAAATGAAACTGGAGTCCTAGAAAATAAGGAAGAGCTCTCCAGAAAGTTGTTAAGCCTAATATAAATAGATACATAGATTTTATTCTGACAAAATTAGGATTTTACAATCGTTTGACAGTCAGCTCTGAAATAATAAAATAACAAAATAGAAACATGTTTAAAGAGTTGCGACGTAATATGTGTTTCAAGTTTTCCAATTATCCATTGTTTTCCGGAAGACACAAAAGTTTTTAATCACACTTAATGTGTTTTTCTTTAAAAGGAACAAATCATTTATACACAAACAAAAAACAAAAAGGAAATGTCCGAAATGCCAAAGATAAACAACAGTTTTTAACATATCTAGTTAAAGTTGATAACAAATGGAAAATTCCTCTTCAGGAACCATGTACCTCTCAACTTCTCAAGCCATGTTTAGGGCATCCCCTCACTTCCTCCTTCCCCAACCCCCCACTCTCTTCTTTCTGTTTCTGCATCTGCCCTACATATTTAAGGTAGGATCATAATCACAACATACTTAAGCATCACGTACATTTTGTAACAACTGATGTTTAATCATGACCTTACCTTGCATTTTCCTGTGTTCAGCAAGTTATTTGCAGCTTCTTCTATCTGTAACATTGGAATCCCCCATATTAATGAGTGTATACAAATGTAAGTCAATATTAATCATCAACTGATGGGCCTTAATTACATGTATTTCCCATATCTGGCCAAATCTAATGACACAAGTTTGGAGAGTCTCCGAGACAGTAACTCACCATCCAACTCTGTCAGTATTCAATCACAGACTCATGTCTTGCAGAAGTATGAATATCATCCTACAATGTAGTTCTGAACACAATTGTCATCTTCAAATTATTCACTTATCTTATACTTGCATACTGTGTACTTGATGAAAATATTTCTGGTCAAGGAAAATTGTCCTCCCCAAAGAAATCAACAATATTTACTGTACAGTTCAATTCAAAGTAAGGTTAGTTTAATTTTTAGGTATTACTATTAATTGGGAAAATATTGGCATGATCACAGACTCATATGTAGATAGACTAATCTTATTCCGTGCCATAATTAAAGTATATTTCTTCTAGTTCTACAAATGTAGTTCTAATACTAGACATAATGACCACTTTCAACACATGTTAAGAATTCTGTCGGGACTCATGGAAAGGAAAAAATATAGCACACATGTGTAATGATAAAGATTACTTAGAGGCACAACGATGGGGTAAAGAGAGTTTGTTCTGACTGGACTCGGTCACATTTACTGAACTGAATTAGTGAAAAAATGTATGCACATGGCAAGCTATGTATATTGTACACGTAGAAGCAGTTGCAGGAAGAAGAAAAAAAATCTGTCAATAAACAATGCATTGCATCAGAGACCTATTATAGTATATAGGTCCCACCTTTGCTGCCTGCGCTTTTCCCTAAGCAGAAACCCCGGGCTTCAGCTTCTAAATGCTACGACCTGTTTATTGTTGTGAATTAGCGAAGGAGGCGTTGTGTTTCGAGTCTTGTAGATGTTTGTTTTGGATGTCTCGCTAACGTTGCGTATTGAGCGTCTGCCTGACTGGTCACGTTACTAATGAAAAGTGAAAGTACACCGAGGAACGTTATGAATCAGGGAATCACGTACTAGCTGTGTTAGGCCCTAGTGTAATGCAAAATGACTTTTTTAACATTTGTTTACTTTGTGGGGTCGCGGGAAAACTTCGTTATGCGTGTACAATTAAGGAAATAACGCCTTGTGGTTTGGCTCGAAGAGATGTACATCCCAAGAATTATAACTACAGCCGAAACTCGTTATCTCGAAGTCGACGGGAGTCGTGGGAAAACTTCGAGTTATCCGAGTATTCGAGTGATGAGGGTTCATAAATGTGGTATGAAATTTGCTGTTGGGATATAATAGCACTAACAGTTGTTGGTTTTATTAATAGTTAATGCTTATAATCATCAATAAATGATATACGTAATCAATATAGCAAACACGCTTACAAAAATAGAGTGAGTTATTTCAGAAAAACGTAATGCTTTTGTTTTTAAACGCGATCAGAACGGTTGGACCATATTGTGAATTCGTTATTAAATATGGACGCGTACGGGCCTGGTGATTAAATGCATGTGGATAGATCTTGGCAAAGTCTTTCCAGATCTGCATTTGTATTTGCAAGTCCGTCAAGTTTTACTTATGAAGTTTCGAGTTAAAAGAGTTCGAGATAACGAGGTTCGACTGTACAACTACATGTACTACCGAATAGAGTTTATTCTTATTAAAAACTGAGTACGTTCGGCCAATGGAACTTGTCAAAATCTATATGTACTATTTGAAAGAGAAATGTCATACATTTCAAAAATAATAACAAAACGGAAATACGTCCGTAGATTTGAAGAATTATTAAACCTTCCAGCGCTACTTAGTCGCTGCGCACTCCTCCCCCAATGCATTACATGTCTGGAAGGATGATACAATAGATACAGAACCGGTTTTTTTGGTCAGAAGTTTGGATGGCCAATCGTGCCCCGCATTAAGCTTGTTGTGGCAAGTTCGGACCACGATATATAAGCTCAGATTTTCCCGCCAATTTCACAACTTTCCATCTATTGCCTGGGCCGAACTTGCACCAGTAGCATGGTCCGAACCTGTCCCAAATTGATGAAATGCGTATTATATGTACAAAAAAACCCACGAAGTCAATGCTCGTTTTTTATGTATGTCAACATTTGTAGTTGTCAGTGTGAGACATGTATTACATAATACAAGTTGCAATCCGGTTTACAGATAGTTTGCAAACCCAGAAAGAAGTGAGATCATGATTTTCTTTCTACCATCCAAAAGTAACTCTCTCTGTTTTAGTAGTCTAATATTTGAGTTTTCATTGTCTCTTCTTCATGTGAATGTCCCGCCCAGTCAACTGAACTGCTAATAAGATCTTCAAAATTTTAAATATTTGCTCCAGACCAAAAATATCAAGGGTGGTTGGACTTACCCCGGGGCCCGAACTTGCCAGTAAAAAAGTACCTTAGGTATACTTTTTAGGTTTACCTAAAGTATGTCTTATATTAGGTACCCCAGGGCACAACGGCGCATACAAATATGGATAATCATCCTGCATTTGGGAAACAATTACCGTTTTGAGTAACAACTTTATCACTGAAATTGGGAATAAAGGATATAAAAATTAAAAGTTATTTCAGAAACGTATGTATTATACGTATCTGGTTATTTTGAACAATAGGAGCAAACAAGGGCATTATTCTTTCAACTACATGTAAATCCAATATATAACACAATGGAGTACATTTGTACACAAAAAGTTATCAATTCTAACTTCTATTTTTTTTATGTGAAAATGACAAACTGTATCACTGACTTTACTCTCCATTGACTTCAGTGTGTAGGCAATGGGACCATCCAGTACAAATGTGACAGGTAAGCATGATTTTTTTTCTGCGTGCTATTTATAGCTACTCTACATACACACTGTAAGCAATGGAGGTGATACAATTTGTCATTTTCATAAAAAAAATAGAGTCCTTAGATTAAAATATTTTTGTACACAATTCTACATCATTGTGCTCAACCTGAGTAATATCCAAATGGAGAAATGTTGACATCTGTATATTTACCTACTCTCTAAAAGGGATACTCTCGATTTTAGACACCTAAATAAGAGACGTATATACGACAGGACTTTATATGTTTGCTTGAATTTAACATTTCTAACCAGTGACTTTTCTAAACTGTTCCTAAATCTAAGATCCAATGATTTCATCTGAGGGAACAACTCGTAACATGTCATTTTATATTGTTATACACACATTTTATAATTTATGTTTTTAATTTTGAGCACGCAGAATCTCCCGTATAAAAATTTTGAAACAAAATGTATAGGTGTGCACTTCTTGTGAGATCAAACCTGGTATACGGATCAATTATTTGGGAACCATACTTGATAGGACAATGCTAAACTTGAAATAATCCAAAAACAGATGGCAAGGAAACTGCAAAGACATGGAAGAGGGATTAGCAATTGTACAACCCTTCGAGCTTGGGAGGAAAACTGATACCATGTATATATTGGTTGGGGGTCTACATCCCTTTTCGCACTGGATGCCAGTTATATATTGGTTGGGGTTCTACATCCCTTTTCGCACTGGATGCCAGTTATATATTGGTTAATATTGTTACATATTCAACCAAGGACAAGGTTATAAGGTCATGGGCCGCGATGGCCGAGTGTTTAAGGCGTCTGACATTCTGCTACATGTACCACTAACCCTTCACCACTGGGTCGCGGGTTCGAGGCCTACGTGGGGCAGGTCGGTGGTTTTCCTCCGGGTACTTCGGCATTCCTCCACCACCAAAACCTGACACGTTCAAAATGACCATAGCTGTTAAAAGGACGTAAAACACAAACAAACCAAACCAAATTATTGAGGTCAAATGTGTCACGGTTCTTCCATATGCCCCCTCCCTTCTCTATACATACGTGGCACGTGGTCAGATGGAGTCGCTCTTCATTTCTAACCCCGATGATCTGTCCCCGGCCCCAGGATACACTTGAAATGACAGATCAGGTTGAACAGCTGGCCATCGAAACGCCCAACTCTCGCTTTCTCTAGTGTATCGAGCGAAATTGCTTGGTAACATTCTGTAGCCTTTGTCGATGGGCCCGGATTGTCTCAGGAATCAATATAAGATGTTGATATATATATATATACTATTATGTATGACAAAGCCGGTCTAGCATATGTTTTAGGAACAACGTCAATCATGTATGTCATACATGTATGTGCTTTCATATGTAGTACCAGATATTTAGGACAAGAACAACCGGTTTGTCTGTTTTCAAATGTTACGTTTTCGAGTATATGCAGGCGTTTCAAGGCTTTGTAATGCAATGGCTCGCCTGAAGAACAACTCTGGTCCAAATACAACCGGTTCAACCGGTCCAACCGTTTGGATCACGTTAAACGAAGGCGGCCTTATACTCATTCTATACAGCACGTCTCTGGTGTATCCCGTAATAAATATCAGATGTTTTATTGTCCGTACTGTCGCTTTTTTACATATATACTTCTCAGCTTAGATATCCTATATATAGTTTATCAGATATGGATCGTTATGTGTCGTGAAGATGTATGATATATGATAAATGTCTCAATTATTTTATTTATAGGTATCTCAGATATTTTATATATTTGTACATTAAGAATATTTTGATTATCATACATTGGCTATGAATAAATGCTAAGCTGATATGCTATACACTGTTAGTCAAAGCAAACACAACGATTGAAACAGGACAGTTTATACGGTAAATGTGCCCGCCTTCATCTGCTTTCAGCTGGCATTCATAGGCATGCAATTCAATGCTTATACTTACCATTTTTTGGCTCTATCTTTCTATTAAAAATCTAAATTTTCTAATCAATATTCAACTTTCAGTTGAAATAATGTTGTTTATCGTATATGCTTATTCAATAAATAAAACAGCCATCTGTCATGGGAGGGTCAGTAGTATCCTGTGTAACAATTGTGAGGTCATATATGATATAAATGACGTTAACAATCAGATGATGGCATTAATAGCCTGTATGAATGCCACCTGAATGTGATGATGTGTCATACGATGGTAAATTTCTTAGCATTTAATTGCTTTTAAGTGACATTCATAGTCAATATGAATACCAACTGCATATTTGCATTGCGCTAACGTTTCATGTTGAATTTGGTATTTCCAATTGGCATTCATATTGACTCTGAATGCCAACTTGAAGCAGTTTACTGTCTATGTTGACATTTTTTCATGAAGTCAAATATTATATAAAACAAAACAACCAAAATCTAGCATTTTGTGCAAGTATAATTGATACCCAAACATTTCATTTAAATGACTGCTGCTCAATTCATCCTTCCAAAAAAAGTAAAATCAAACTGCAAGTTGTCATATTAGAGTGGTTCGGTTCACTGCATCCATTGTAAATGTGACTAAGAAGAAGAGAAATTTGAAGATACCAAAATTTATCGTAGAGGATGTTTTTACAGTTTCGGTTACCTCACGGTAATCCTATGATTTCCTCTGAGAAGAAATCTTCCGCTGTGATATAAATATTCGTATTTGTATAGATAATACAAGTAGAGCTAGATGAATAAATTAATTTTACATCGTCTGTCCGTGAAAATGTGTATCATTGCAATGGAATAGTGACAACAAGTATCTACGAACGTTTGTAGCACGGGCATGGAACAGATGGAACAACTGAATCAGGTTAATCAAAGATGTGAAACCATAGAGGCAGACCCTATGAATCAACGAAATGAAAACGCGAATGTAAGATCCAACAAATATGTGTTGCGCTAATATTAAACAACCGAAGAACTCATTTTCAATCTGGTATGCTTTAATTGTGGTACACTTTAAACAGTATTTTGTAAAAGGGTTGCCAATTGCTTGTAAGATGTCCTACATTATTTTCTTATAAAGTGATACCTGATTTGAATTTAGTATTTCTAGTTACTGCCATCAAATATGTTGTTATCAAGGAAAAGACGTTTTCACAAATGTGGTAAACCTGGCAAAATGTTAATTTTGATAATGAAACACACTTCTGGCAGAACACTTTTCTTGGTGTCCTGTCCACACGATTGTTCTGGGAAATACTCCTCTCCAAATACGTAAGAAATCACGAAAATTGGAGCTAGAATGGCATGCACGCTTTTTCAGGAGGTTTAAAGTTAATGTTTAATTCCGCCTGTTTACGACTTGCGTCTTCACTCCTCTGGTAAGGCCTTCTTAGTATATCCTTACACAAAGTCACGCCAAATCCGGGTTTATCCGGAAGGTCAATAAAACCGTTGGCGGGAAGGGGTTCGTCAGGAAACAACCCTCCGAAATACGGCACGATCTTGTCAGCCTCGGGACTCAAATTGATAAATTCTGCTACTGGACAATTACAGAAGGCGTATTGTAGATGGTAGGAATAGATACTTGAACCATGTGGTATGACCATGACATTGTGAGCGGATGCCATGGCAACCATACGGCGAGCCTCGGTGATCCCGCCCAGCCAGGATATATCTGGCTGTAAAATGTCCACACATCGGGATTTCAAAAGAAGCTGGTACCCATAACGACTGTATTCGTGTTCTCCAGTGGTAAGTAAGACCTTTGATCCAAACATGGCTTTCCGCACGTCTTCGTATCCTTCATAATCGTCAGGAGGAAGAAATTCCTCGATCCACTTCAGACCAAGAGGTTCAAGCGCCTTGGCTAGCCTTACCGTATATTGTGGGGTCAAGGCCATGTAACAATCCAGCATGAGTGGGAAATCAGGACCAACCTTCTCGCGCCATCCTTTGAAGAATTCAACATTTTTCTTGAACCCTTCCTCTCCGGCCGTCGGACCATAAGGACAAGGGATTTTTGATGCGACAAATCCCAATTTCTGAGCAATATCGGGACGTGCCGTTGTACAGTAAACCGGAAGTCGCTCCTTCACTTTTCCGCCTAGCATTGCATAAACAGGTTCCCCGCGGAGTTTGCCTAATAAATCCCAAATGGCTAGATCTACGGCGCTGATGGCTTGGATTGGAAGTCCCTTCCGTCCGTAGTTGAGTGTGGCACGGAACATTTGGTCCCACATCAGTTCCACATTTCGCGGATCTTGACCTTCTACAAACCGACTCAGGTGCTTCTCTACAATGTAACATCCGGGTTCTCCCCCGATGGTGATTCCAACCCCACACTCGCCGTTTTCAGCCTCAACTTCAACAACCATAGTGCCAAGAGCGTTGATTCCCCATGACTTCCGGAATGACGCGTACTGTGGATACACGGACATAGGGTTGGCAACGGGGTTCGGGTAGCCGTTGATCCAGTGCTTATCGTCCACGTCATGACAGTCCGCTCCTTGGTCCCCCTCTTTTGCTTCCGTTACGTACGCTCGGACAGCTTTGATTCTAGGGAATGATCTACTCATGGCGCATGCGATAGAAGGGGTGTTTCTTCAGCAACTGAGGTAGCAAACTAGATTGGATGTATCTAGTTACTGGACAATACTGCCTTGAGATAGCTTTATATAACTGCAATCAAAGTGATATGGGCATGTGTATACATATATTACAATGTACTCTAGTTTATCACCTTCTTATATAAATAATTGTGTAGTGAATAAGATTAACCAGATCGTCCTAGATACGACATAATCACCCGGACATGTCTTACAATTGAACAGTTCAATTTCGTACCGTAGATAATGTAATAAACCAGTAAGTCGAAAAAGGGAAATGTTTGGTTTTACGATACAATTTACAATGACATACAATGCAATATCATTGTCCTCTAAATATTCGCCCTGATGTATTTTAAAACAGGATTGTCCAATGTTAAAAATGGGCACGCATACTCAGCCGCCAGCAGATCAACTTGAAGATTCAGTCCCGTGTCGTATTCACCCCAAAAGTTCAAGAGCGAAAATTTAATGGGACGCAAATATATCGTCATATTTCATATAAAAGGTATCGATATCGAGCGACCAACGATTTTGATTATTTTTTTATTATATTTAATTATTATTTATACTTTTTTGAGGCAGGGGTATAGTTGGGGTAGGGTCGGTGTGATCCCAAACAGGTGCAAGAAATCCATTAATCAATATTTTGAATAATTCACGAAAATAGTTGTATACTATAGATGTTAGTGAACCTTTTGATCATCGTCCGATAAACGAGTAAGGTTTTTTATGTATACCTCTGCAGCTTCTGGGAGGAATGTATCCGATATATCCCGTTGCATGACCTTATAATGCAACGTACATGTGTATATGCCTACCGAACTGCCCACCATTACACAACCCAAACACACACACACACATACCACACACACAGCATCCTATTCCGTATTTGCGTATTGCAGAGTTATCTTTTCTTGTGAGCAGGTATTGATTGTTACGTCATTGGTTTTTAAGAGTAACGTCATCAATTTTGAGAAAATGACGGAATTTTCTCACACAAACCTATGACGTAACAATCAATACCTGCTCACAAGAGAGGATAACTCTGCAATACGCAAAGACGGAATACACACCCTTCCATCAATGCAGACTCCAGGTTTTGTTTTTTGTGCATTCTGCCTAGGGGACACTGGAGAAACCAAAACTGATCTTTTAGCCACATAAGAACACTCATGTCCTCATCTTTGATTTATTTTCCTCTTCTACGTTCTCTTTATCTGCATAGGCAAACCTAGTAAGCCCGTAGTCAGAATAATGCTTCGGGTCGATATTCCTGCCGATGTGTCAAGGTTGTTATACTTCAGTTTGGTGTCACTTTAAAGTTCAAGGACTTATTTCTGTCCAGTCCTTGATGACTTTATGGTGTTGATTGTCTTATACTTTTCGTTTGTTTGTGTTTAACGTCCTATAAACAGCTATCGGTATTGAATGACGTGCCAGGTTTTGGTAATGTAGGAAAGCCGGAGTACCCGGAGAAAAACCACCGACATGCTACCGGTACCTGGCGACTGTCCCACGAATGCTTCGAATCCGCGACCCAGTGGCAGAGGGCTAATGTTATCGGAATGTCAGACGCCTTAATCGCTCGGCCATCGCGGCCCCGATAAATAAGCAAACAATATCTGATAGTAGATGGCCTTCATATCTGCAATCTTGTTACTCAGCAAACATCCCGATAACCTAAATTGGTGACGTCAGAAAACCTAACAAGCACAAGGACGTGTACCTATCAATTAAGACACAGTGTGTATTTTGGAGATATAGATATTAGACATATACTTTTTAAAACAATATGATTAGACTCCACACACAGTAAGACAGATAACAAAATTTATAGTGTGTTTTTCCAAACACTTAACACGAAACTTTCAGATCGATATTTCCCAATGTCTACTCGCTTCATTAAGATTCAAAGCCTAGATAAATGAGCACAAGATTGAGATAGTCACTTCCAGAAGCAGATCCAGGGGTGTTGAAAGGAAAAATCCAATAGATCAGAATTTTATTTACACCAACTTTCAGCACTTAAAAAAGGGCACCGTTCATGATTCTTTGTCAACACAGTTTTTGGGTTAAAGTTCTATCTATATATGTAACAAATCGTAAAAGTTGGAGCTAGAATGGCATAAATGCTTTTTCAGGAGGTTTAAAGTTAATGTTAAACTCCACCTGTTTACGACTTGCGTCCTCACTCCTATGATAAGGCCTTCTTAGTGTATCCTTACACAAAGTCACGCCAAATCCTGGTTTATCCGGAAGGTCAATAAAACCATTGGCGGGAAGGGGTTACTGGACAATTACAGAAGGCGTATTGTAGATGGTAGGAATAGATACTAGAACCATGTGGTATGACCATGACATTGTGAGCGGATGCCATGGCAATCATACGACGAACTTCGGTGATCCCGCCCAGCCAGGATATATCTGGTTGTAAAATGTCCACACATCGGGATTTCAATAGAAGCTGGTATCCATAACGACTGTACTCGTGTTCTCCAGTAGTAAGCAATATTTGACGAGGAGGAGGAGGAGGAGGAGGAGGAGGAGGAGGAGGGAGGAGGAGCACGACGAGGAGGAGGACGAGGAGGACGACGACGACGGTGATGATGATGACTTTCTTCTTCTTTCTCCTGCATCATTTATGTTTGGCAGTTACCAGATCATGTTGTTTGGTTGGTCTTTAAACTTTCCAATTGTTAATGTCCTCTGGATATTGATCACTTGCAACTTTTGTCATATTATTAGGGTCTTCTTTTTATTAAACTGTCTTAAACGTTCCTTCCATCTATTTTTGTTTGCATGATGGTTTCATTTTTGTCTTTGATGCTTGAACCTTAAATATGTTCTAATACACAGCTGTCACGTGACTTTATGTAGAATCCTGTTGTCCCTCTTTATGAAGCTACTGCAGCCTTCTTTGGATGTGTGGCTTTGGAGCAATGCTTGCACTTTGCTTTCACTTGTGTCCCTTTGGGAGATCTGACATCATGTCACCTCTGATAAGTTTCATCTCAATGTGACTGCAGCCAACTCACTCCGTCTGTTGTTTCTCTATTTTATTACAGTCGATGTCGATGCTCCTTCTTAAATGCTTATAAAAGGTGAAATGTTCGCAGTGTGAAAATATTGGCGTTTTAAGCGTTGAAAAAATTAGCGCGAAAATACCAACATGCGAATATTTATTAATATATTATTTAGATTATAGATATACATGATAAATATATATAAATTGTAAACGCAAAACATTCAACATCATGAACAGTTTAAAGATTTGCAATGCGAACACGCAAAAATGTATACCTTTACAGTCTCTTTATGTTGGTAACCTGTTTCTCCTCTCTGCACAGAAGTTGCTTTTCATTTCTTTTTGTTTAATGTCAAACGGCTTTCTTTCTTATTCTGTTTTTGTCCGCTTGCAAAGAAGTTCCTTTTCATTTCTTTTTGTTTAATGTCAAACGCCCTTCTATCTTATTCTGTTTTTGTCCGCCCATATTTCACCTTTTTCCAACTACTAGGTAAAATGCGACTCTTTTGGCAGCCTACATTCTGCAGTGACCTTTACGATCTAGCATGATGTGGTGTATCCCTTTGTTCACTTTTCTGTTTGGGTAGGTCCATGTTGATGTATGAACTCCATATAAGGAAATGTTATGCCTGCTTTAACCAGACTGTTATGTATATAGAAATCAATCAGTCGTTCACCGTTATTTTTTCAGACCCCCTTACCTAATACCCTTTCACATCCTCAACATTAGTATTGTTCACACTAACTGTAGCGTCCATATCTCCCATAACGAACGAGGAACAGGGCGTCATGCTTGATGAAATTGTTCCATTAAGGCACTCCTTCTGATCTTAATCAGCGTTGGTTGATGATCACGACAACGATGACGACGACGACGATGATGAAGATGATTGTGTAGCACATCTACATTTACTTCCTGCCTCCTTCATCATTTCTGTCTGAGAGATACCAGATCTTGTTATCAACTTGGTTTTTATGTTGTTTTAATTTTAATGACCTTTGGATATTGATCACTCCCAACTTCTGGTACATTTATTTACGTCAACTAAAATAAAACGTTCCTTCCCTCTTTTTTTTTTTTTTTTTTTTTTTTTTTTTTTTTTTTTTNTGTCCTTGATGCTTGAAGTATTTTCCCACACATAGCAGCATGGTGACTTTATACAGAATCCTGTGTATCCCATTTTTCACTCCGTTTTTTGTGTTTCTATTTTGGCAGGTCCATGTTAATGCTTGAAATTCAATATATGGAATTATCATACCTCTAATGAAATTCATGTAATCTGATTGGTAGAAACAAATTGTTCATTTCACACTGTCACACTCGCTTTGACATTGAGTCGATGGAAGGGTGATTCCAAACGCTCTAGCAACGGGTGACAGTGTGTGTGACAGTGTAAATAGTGACCACGCAAAGAAGATGCGTGCACGGTTCGTTTCAGCCGCAATATTTTTTGCATTGCGATTCATCGCACATGTAGGCCCACAGGCACTTCATGTCGCTACCGCGTATTACTCGCCGGTGATTAGTACCACGGTGTAACGCCGAATATAGTCTCGTTCAGCCAGACTCCTGTTGCCTGCGCAAGCTACGCCGAATAGAGAGTCTGGTCAAACGCAGTGCTTTCGTTTTGTGACATCATAACGAGGCTTACCGAGATTCTGGTAAAAAAAATCATTGACACACCTTTTTTAACTTTTGAAGTCAGAATTTGAGTGGCCCAAAATTACATTAAATATTTTAATTCATTAAAAAATTACCTGTATATGCATTCCTGAAGTATCCATGTTTTCACTATCAACGAGAAAAATGTAAGAAAATGCTTAAAAAATAATGATTTCATGTATTTTCATTGGATATTTTACAAAAATTCATGAAGCTAACAAGGCTATTGATACAAGTCAAGCCAGATTACCTGAGTGAGAACTTGAAGGTGATTTGAATGGTGTACAGGTAAAATCTCACTGGCTTTGCATGCTTTTTTCCCACTTCAGTCAGCCTTGTTGGCTTTGTACCTAGTTACATTATGACTTATTTAATGGAAATATATGGCATTATTCTGGAGATTTGACACATTTTCTTACATTGTTCTCGATAAAAGTGAATACACGGGTACTTCAGGAATGCATGTATAGGTAATTTTTTTCATTAATTTCATTATTCATTGAAATTTAATTGCGTTGACATAACGTCCGGAAACGAAAGTAAAAACACTGCCCTCTGGTGATGGTAATTTTAAAGTACTGTGTTTGACCAGACTCATGAATTACAAGTGAGCAAGCGTCTGCTTGAACGAGACTACTCTTGAATTACAAGTGACCAAGCGTCTGGTTGAACGAGACTACTCTTGAATTACAAGTGATCAAGCGTCTGGTTGAACGAGACTACTGAAATGAGTGAGACTTCATAAACTATTGACGGATAAATTATCAAAGCGTCAAACGAACACGTACGAAGCAGTTGTGATTGATATGAAAAAACAAGGTTTCGGGGGAGTGAAACACAAGGACACCATCACTGATGATGATACGAAGAAGATGTTCGGTAACCCGATCGTCAATATCAACAATTAAATTATGATAACGGCCATGACATTTCGCAGTGTTAATAGCACTAACTGTATTGTTAAATCTTGAATAGTTTACTGTTATATTTGTTGATGAAAATACAATATTTGTTACAAATATAAAAACTTTATTAACTATTGACTTTGGGTATAATAAAAAAAACAACACTACATTCATTAGAGTGTGACAGTGCCTAGGGTCGCCTCTGGTGACAGTGATACCCTCGGAGTGATCATAGGCACTGTCACACACTCAGGAATGTAGTATTTATATAACGTTATGCCTGTTTTTACCAGACTGTTATGCATATACAGAAATGCATCAGGCGTTCACCGTTATTGTTTCATACTCCAGCACCTTACTGCCCTTTCATATCTTCTACACCAGTATTGTTCACACTTACTATAGCGTTCATATCTCTCATTTCTAACAGGACACCAATTTTGATGCAAGATTTCCATTAAGACGCTCATTCTGATCTTTATCTTCGTTTGTTGATGAAAAACAGTCAATGACTAGGATACAGCTTACATATCCCCACCACCAATAGCTATAGTCATTTAAAGACGTGCTAAGTTTTGATGGTGGAGGAAAGCCGGGGTACACGGAGAAAAATCACCGACCTGCGGCCAGGACCTGGCGATCGCCCCACGTTGATATCAAAACCGCGACACAGTGGTGGAGGGCTACTGGTAGCAGAATGTCAGTCGCCTTAACCCATCGGCGATCGCGGTCCAGATAACTAAACATACAATACCTGTTACTAGATGAACGTCATATCTGCAATCTTGTAACTGAGCAAACATCCCGATGACTTGAAGTTGTGACGTCTGAAAACGTAACAGGTACAAGGACATACCAATTAAGACACAGTTTGTATTTTGGAGATTTTTTAGACCCGAAAAATATCTAATAATACTCCACACCGAGTAGAAGAGATATCACAATGTATAATGTGTCTTAAATCTCAGGTCCCTGTTGTAACAGGAAAACAGAAAAAATGAGAAACATCTTCAAACAGATGTAATGTTTTATTTTTGCGAAGAGTTTTACAAACACTTAACGAGACACTTTTAATGAGATATTTTCCAATGTCTATTCCCCTTAATTGGATTCAAAGCCTAGAAAAATGAGCACAAGATTGAGATAATCACTTCCTGAAGTAAATCCAGGGGTGCTAAAAGGAAAAGTCCAATAGGCTAGAACTTTATTTACACCCCCTCCTTTCAACACTGAAAAAAGGGATTCGTTCATGATTCCCTGTCCACACAAAGCTTCTAGGTACAACTTCTCTCTTCTCATGTCCAATGTACCAAATCATAAAAATTGGAGCTATTAACAAATCACGAAAATTGGAGCTAAAAGGGCATAAATGCTTTTTCGGAAGGTTTGAAATTTATGTTTAACTCCGCTTGTTCACGACTTGTGTCCTCACTCCTATGATAAGGCCTTCTTAGTGTATCCTTACACAAAGTCACGCCAAACCCGGGTTTATCCGGAAGGTCAATAAAACCGTTGACGGGAAGGGGTTCGTCAAGAAACAGCCCTCCGAAATATGGCACGATCCTGTCAGCCTCGGGGCTCATATCTATGAATTCTGCTACTGGACAATTACAGAAGGCGTATTGTAGATGGTAGGAATAAATACTAGAGGCATGTGGTATAACCATGACATTGTGAGCGGATGCCATGGCAACCAATCGACGAGCCTCAGTGATCCCGCCCAACATGGATATATCTGGCTGTAAAATGTCCACACATCGGGATTTCAAAAGAAGCTGGTATCCATAACGACTGTACTCGTGTTCTCCAGTGGTAAGTAAGACCTTTGATCCAAACATGGCTTTCCGTACGTCTTCGTATCCTTCATAATCGTCAGGAGGAAGATAATCCTCGATCCACTTGAGACCGAGAGGTTCGAGCGCCTTGGCTAGCCTCACGGTATATTGTGGGGTCAAGGCCATGTAACAGTCCAGCATCAGTGGAAAGTCAGGACCAACCTTTTCGCGCCATCCTTTATAGAATTCAACATTTTTCTTGAACCCTTCCTCTCCATCAGCCGGACCATAGGGACAAGTGATTTTTGAGGCGGCAAATCCCATATTCTTAGCAATGTCGGGACGTGCCGTTGTACAATAAACCGGAAGTCGCTCCTTCACTTTACCACCTAGCATTGCATAAACCGGTTCCCCGCGGAGTTTGCCTAATAAATCCCAAATGGCCAGGTCTACGGCGCTGATGGCATGGATTGCCAATCCCTTCCGGCCATAGTTGAGGGTGGCACGGAACATTTGGTCCCACATCAACTCCACATTTCGCGGATCTTGACCTTCTACAAACCGACTCAGGTGCTTCTCCACAATGTAACATCCGGGTTCTCCTCCGATGGTGATTCCAACCCCGCATTCGCCGTTTTCAGCCTCAACTTCAGCAACCATAGTGCCAAGAGCGTTGATTCCCCATGACTTCCATAATACTGTGTACTGTGGATACACAGACATTGGGTTTGCCATTGGCGTGGGGAAGCCATTGATCCAATGTTTATCGTTCACGTCATGACAGTCCACTCCTTGGTCTCCCTCTTTGGCTTCCGTTACGTACGCTCGGACAGCTTTGATTCGAGGGAATGATCTGCTCATTGTGCATTTGTTGGAACGACTAAAACAGACGTACGTTTCTCAGGCGGCTGAGGTGACAAACTAGATTAAATAGTTACGGATTGTAAAAGATAAACGTGATCAACCTTGACTCGTGTAGACCTGCATATAAAACTGTTACATTGTGTTCTAATTTATCTGCCGGTCTACTCGTGTGTACATGATATGTAGCTGAAATACATACCACGCAACATTGGTGTTATAAAATGCATTTGTGCCGAGGTAAGTTGCCGTTGTCAGACGAGTCGGTTATTGATACGGTAACAAGTTGCTCACGGAAAACAATATTGGGCGTGAGAAAAGGTTTAAATATACATGTACAGGTCAGCTAAGATAGCCTCTAAAGTCAACGCCTGGTTTGAAATACGTGCATTCGAGTTACAGATAATGTCGCATGTTTGCAAAACAACAGTTAGGTAAATTATATATAGTCACGCTTTTGGTATTACGCTTTAGATACAGGTAGGTTACCAGAAATGATGGTTATGATAATGACGACGACGATGACGATAATAATGAGGATGATAATCGTTTTTCCCTTTATTATCGAAATGAACTTATTAATGATGAAGACGATGATGATGAAGATGATGAAGATGATAAGGAGGATAATGATGATGATGATGATGATGATGATGATGATGATGATGATGATGATGATGATGATGATGATCACGACGACGACGATGATTACGACGACGGCGGCGACGACGATGATGATAACCGTTCCTTTCTTTCTATTTTGTTAGCTTGATGTTTTTCATTTTTGTCCTTGATACTTAATACTTGAAGTATTTTCCCACACATAGCTGTCTGGTGAATGTATGTAGAATCTTCAAGATCCCTCTTTATGAAGCTATTTCTGCCATCTTTATGCGTCGGTTTTTTTGGGACAACCCTTGCGCTTACTTTTACTTCCGTTAAGTTCTGAAACTACGTTAGCATTGATCCGTTTTGTTCCTGTGTGTTGCAGCTGTTGTTTCACTATTTCCTGTCCTCAACAATGTCCCAGATTTGTCAAATACACACTCATGCCAGAATAAGCACTACTGATGTTTCCCCACGGTTCATCCATTCTCGTTCCCAAATACTGGAAATGTATGCGGTGTGTAAATTTTTTTTTTTTTTAAGCGAGTAAATAAGTGCGAAAATATCATATGCAAATACTTATAAAAAATTTTTTTATTACATATATATAGCACAAATATCAGTGTCAACGTGAACATTTCCACTCGTCAAATTTTCTTTTTTTACAGCATCCTAATATTGTAAACCTGCTCCTCCTCTCTACACAGAACTTCCTTTTATTTATTTATTTTTTATGTCAAACGACCTTCAATTTTGTCCGCCCACGATTTACCTGTTTCCAATATCTAGTATAGGTAAAATGCGACCCTCTTCGCAGACTAAATCCTGCAGTGATATTCCCCATTTACGACTTATCATGTTGTTTATCCCATTTTTCACTTTCCTATTTGGACAGGTCCATGTTAATATATTTAACTCAATATAAGGAACTGTTATGCCTCCTATAACCAGTCTGTAATGCATAATAATCCATCATTCCTTCACCCTTATTGTTTCAGAACCCAACACCTTATTGTCCTTTCACATCCTCAATATAAGTAGTGTTCACACTAACTTTAGCGTCCATATCTCCCATAACTAAAATATAACAGGGCGCCACGTTTGATGACGATGGTTTTTCCATTTAGGTCATTCTTTTGATCCTAATCTTCCTATGTTGATGAAAAACAGATAATGACTAACAGATATTCATTATTTGGTTTCAGTTGAAGGTACGTTAAGCTTCGTTCATGGCCCTCGTTTCTACAACAGATTTCCCTGCTGCTTAACTCACAATCACAGATACGCCTCCAGCCATGGCCATTTGTTCCTGTATAAAGATGATATTTTGTGAGTATTTTTCAAAGTTATTTTCATCGATTTCCAAAATGTCAGTATTAGAGCATTTCAATATTTTGATATACAGTAAAAGAGTTTCTCAAACACGTTTGTTCAGAATTCAAGTCTCCATAATTTGTAAATATATTAGTCTTCTAAATGAATTGTAATAAGTACAAGGAAATACTAGTAAATGCAACAGTGTAGACAATAGAAGGTTGTCAATTTGTTTCGGACCAAACTGCTCATTATCAAGACACCTCAACAGGAGCTCATAGAACAGTTATATTATTAAACGGGAAATGCATAAATTGAAAAATTATCAATCTGATATTTAAAACAATAATGAGCCGGAGGCAGCAAAAAGGCACCTGTGTGTCTCTACAGGACATTTGTAATTAGTCCGATAGAAAAGCGACATTTGTAGGTCGCTAAATTATCATGGCATTGAAGCAAATACTAGCCAGTGACAGACCTTGGACTTATGAAAAAGGGAGTACAAACTTCATATCTGTTTGCTCTTACCCTCTTCTTGAGGACTATAAAGGAAGGGTTACCTTCCCTAAACCGTTATTTTGTACTTTTCTGCCAACACGACCTACCCCTCTCCCCGTATACAGCCAATAAAGACTATTTGTAAGTTTGTCCATTGAATACCATATATAATTTACGAGCTGGCAGAATATCGATATTTGTATCGTAGAACGTACGTAATACACAAGATATTAATGATAGTTAATGATTTCCCATTGAATACCATATATTGTTACGAGTTTGGCAGAATATCATGAAACATACGTTATTCACAATATATGGAGGATATGAAATGGTGGTTTCCCATTGAATACCATTTATTTTTACAAGAATGGCAGAATATCGATATTTTAATAGTGAAATATTCGTTCTACACCATATATAAAGGATATTTAATGGTTTCCCATTAAATACCATATACATTTCACGAGTATGGTAGAATATCGGTATTTTAATAGTGTAATCTACATGTACGTAATACACAACTAAATGCGTTATTGAATGGTTTTCCACTGAATACCGTATTTCTTTTACGGGGATGGCAGAATATCGATAGTTTTATCGTGAAACATGCATAATACAAAGTATACGACACGTATGTGTTACCATAATTCGTACGCATGTTTAAATTGTCTTCCCGTTCATTTCGATTTATCATTTGTCAATTGACTTTAACATAGTTGTATATAAATTTAAATTAGTTATAAATTTAAAAAAAATACATATCCTAAATCGTAGTGTTAGTTTGTATTTTAAGGTACTGCCACCGACAGAACCTTGATATTCAGACATGCAATTGTATGTTAACAATGTTGAATGGCCGTGGGGAAATTCGTTGCAAAAGTACTGGCTCTTTTTTTATAAACCACATTTCGCAACCTGCACAATTTCAGAGAAGTAAAACACTATTCAAACTTTTATGAATATTGACTGCAAAAACATATGGCAGCATGTTATATACTTTGACAGGGTAAACTTCTCTGTTCTACATATGTTAAGCCCGCGCTAAATGTCAGGTCTGGCCAAGCTGTCATGCTTAGAGCAGAAAAGGCTGACATTTAAATGATAAGTGTTATTGATGAGACACTAGTGTTTGATCAAGCAGAAGAAAAACGTTCTTTATTATGTCCTCAAGGTTAAACCTGAACAGCGTATGATTTATACTTTCTTCGTCCTTTTATTCTAAAAAGAGTTAATGTTTTAACATTTTCTTTAACATACCGACGTTTTATTCGCCTTCTTGTTGTAACTGGGATTCTTTCTTTTTGTTTTCTACCTTCATAAACTACAACTGTCTCTCCAATTTTCGTACCTAACGTTTTGCCCAAATTACCTTGTTGTGCGATCGGAAACCGTCGTTTACGGAAAGTGCCGATGGTTCCCGATTGCCCTATTGTGTTGATGGATCGTATGCTTAAATATCCTGTCCCACTGCAGGCAAATGTATAGTGAATTCCACCTTGATTTTTCGTATAAACAGTAACCTCCCCTTAATTTCGTTTTTCATAGAACTGTAGCACATTTGGAACAGGAGACTTCCGTTGACTAGGTAGTTCATGCAATATCGCAATCCCGAACCAGGGTTGGAATCCTCTTCTAGTCATGCCGAATTGTTACATTTCGAACACTTTTACTGATTTTATTTAACATTATGTCTCGATTTTTTTTCTCCATAAAATTCCAATCGTTTCAGAAATTATTTAACAAAGGTACAGTCATGCCGGAAAAAAAGTTTCTGATCCACACGGTTACAGTTTATGGCAGTGGTACGGGGATCCTTAAAAAGATATACTGCCTTACTTTAAGAAAATCGCAGTGTAATTCCTTTTTTGTTTACTGCGTCTTACTAAATGTTAAAGGTGCCCTCACCGGTGTGTGTGTGTTATGTTTATCTTCTAAAACAGTTAAACAATAAGAAATATATTTTAATTTATTTATTATTAGGAGTTAATTAATCACTTTAAATTTCTTAAGCGGACACATGTTTCCGCGCCTCAGTGACCATTTTCACGTTACGTGCCTCATGATTGAGCGCTACAACAATCAATTACTAGCAGAAGTACAATGCTTCTACATATTTAGTAGTTAGCATAATGAAGTGCTAAAATAGCTTTGTTGCTTAAATTGGAATGTGCACAATTATTGACGAAAAATATCTAATGTCTACACGAATAGATATACTGATCTTGCCAATATGATTCCAAATGAACAATAAACGTTAACTGAAATGATAAAGGAGATAGAACTTTGACCTAAATCAAAGATATCAGGAATATATAATATATAACTCAAAAATAACAAGCAAAGAAGTATTAACGACAGTGCAGACAAAGGAACTTATCATTGTTAGGGCAATTATAACCACTAACATATCACAGCATGGAACGAAGATAAACGGCCACTATGAAGCAAGACTACAACATAAAATACGATAACAACAAAACAGTAAGCACTCCTGAAATATTCTGCTGTTATCGCATATCCCCTCGGTAAGATTGTATTATTTATTTTAATTCACTTGACATCGCGTTTTCAAGATGATGTTTTTACAATAAGTAGCCTTCAGTCACAAGCTAACCGAGGGGATGTGCGATAACAGCAGCATATTACGTATGGGACCTATAGCAAACTCAATATTATCTAATGTTTGTTTACTACAATAATTCCGCAATAGCCAACACTTAAGCATTGAGAAAAGGAGGATAATCTGTTATATCTTTCACCCATAACCTGTTGTCAACGGACGGGAGGTTCATTAGTATCTTCATTACTTTATGTCTCAAAGGATTAACACACGACATAAGGTCGGGAGTTCCAGCAACACCTAACGATATGACTCACGGTTTACAGTTAAAAATATTCGCTGGAGGGAGATAGAACGCTTTTGGTTCTACGAGACAAGGTCTATCTCCCGAGGCGAAGCCATTACTTTAACTGTTTTATTATACCGAACCAAACTCATAGATATTCTTAAAGTCAATTTAACTGCAATTTCCGAAACCTATTGGGAGTCTTTTCAATATCGTCTGCGCCGAAAGATACCAGCTGGAAGGGGCTAGGTCGGTGCAAGCTACAAATACCTTTCACCTGATCATAGGGTCACGTTACAATCACACATATGCTATACTGATATGGGTCACAACACACATAAACATACACAAGGGAAGAAGCTTCGTCAGAGTACTACCGGTACCGCCAAATTTCAAATGAAGATTTTCAACACTTACTTTTGTTATTTTTTCCTTGGATCTGCGCGATAGCTTCGGGGGGCATGGGACTTTCTTTAGTATTTGGCAGTATGGTAAAAAGACATGTCGAAAAGCCCTCATCATTTCCGGGTCAGGTTCAAGTTAATCATGGCGGTAAAACTGCAAATTCTCCGAAAAGGTGCTTGATCCGAATGATTACACAATTAATCATGATGGATTATTTAATTACAATTCAAATCGAAGCTATCGCCGTAGATCCCTGGAAAAAATAACAAAAGTAAGTGTTGAAAATCTTCATTTGAAATTTGGCAGTACCGGTAGTGCTCTGACGAAGCTTCTTCCCTTGTGTATGTTTAATGTGTGTTGTGACCCATATCAATATAGCATATGTGTGATTGTAACGTGACCTGATTGACTCAGCCATTTCCTTTGTGGTGTACCGGAAATCGCCGAGTGACCCCGAAAAATACCGAGAGAGTCAGTCTGAAAGGATGATTTAGTTTTTCAGACTAGTATACGGTTGATAAACGACTAATTGCCTGATCAATGAAATCAAGATCAAGGCCGAGGATGAAGTCAAATCAATTAATTACTTTTGAATAGATAAGAAAAAGTAAAGGTATATCAAAAATATCTGACACACACAGAAGTCAGAGTACTCATACACATTTCTAACAGTCATCCAGCACTGACCTGCTTAAAAACAATCGTTGTATCAGTAGCATCTAGCTGTCACCAATGATTAATTAACTTGCACTTACAAATGGTTGCACCTCCTCAACCCATCTTCTTATAACCTGTTAATCAGTTATGTTTCAATGCTTCTTTGTTTAAATTGCATACCTGAGCACTTCTTAAGCGCAAATAAATCGCCAAATGTCATTTGGGTCAAGCTTAGTCAAATAGTGATATGCATGCTGTCAAATCAATCTCGATTGAAGGCGTTACTAATTATCTCCTTGTGTAGCGACATAATTTATGATTTGAAAATAACTGGTAAGATTAGGGTGTCCATAGTTTCATAATTTTGCGAAAATAGGGAAGCATTCGAAAATGATTTAATTTAGGATTTGGTATTATTTTTATTATTATTTTTCTCGAAAATTTTACATTTTTATCAAATGCAATATAAGGCCAGAACAAGTAAACACCACACGCTGTATATATCATGATATTTCTACCATGTGATCCAAATCATGCTAATTGAAAATTATTTATAAAAAAAAAGTTGGTTTAAAAGATCGAGCGATTTCGTTCTGGTAAAATTTA